CGGCCTGCTTCCCTGTCGGGGGGGAAACCCCGCTCCCCCGGCTGTAGGTGGGGGTCCTGCAGGTCTCCCCTTTCTCAGACAGGAAGGGATCGGCTCCCCGGAACACTGCCCGGAGACGGGCCCTTGGGAGGAGGTGAAACCCCCTTCGGGCTTCAAGATTGTCCGGGGACCCAGTTCTCCCGTAGTCAGCTGTCCAGCGGGGCCCTTGGACTGAAATCCCTTGGGCTTCATTGTTGTTCTGCGCGTCCTTTGCAAGGCATCTCGACGCCCCGCGTTACTTTCTTCTCCATCTCACTCGCGCCCGCCCCCCGCGCACCCCGTGATCCCCACAGCACAGACCGCGTGTGGTCGCGGTTCCCCGGAGAAGCGACTTCCTCCGCGGGTGGGAGCGTGTCTGTAAAGGACCGGATTTTCCGTGCTTTTCCCAGTGGTCGGTGCCTTCCTGCCCTCGGGGAGAGCCTTAGCTCTGTCTGCACTTGGACGTCGGCATTTGAGTTCATGGCTGATGTCCCTGATACTCGCTCTCGTTTTGTTTGTTTGTTTTGTTTTTGTAGTAATTGACTCGGAACCCATTTCCCGGAGAGGAGCTGCGTTCAACATGGTCAAATAATGAAGTGAGGCATTTGAACGCTTTATCTTCGGACGGAAATCGGAGCGTGAGAAGAGCGATGAGCCCACGCCAGGCGGCGGAAGCGGGGATCTGAAGAGGATGGGAATGTGGACGATGCTGTGGCTCTGCGTTTTCCTGCCCCTCGTGAGAGGGCACAGCCTCTTCACCTGCGAGCCAGTGACGGTGCCCAGGTGCACGAAGATGGCCTACAACATGACGTTTTTCCCCAATCTGATGGGCCATTACGATCAGAGCACTGCCGCTGTGAAAATGGAGGTGGGTTGTTCTTTGTACCTTTATAGAAAAGTCGTTTATTGCTCTGCTCTGGAATAAACTATGAGGGTGACCCCCCCCCTTTTTTTTTTTTAAAGACAGGGATTCTTTCAGTTGTGTACAAGTCATAGTTGGAAGAAATCCTTTTGAAGGTTAAATTACGCTACAGATGTTTTGTGTACATTCGTGGCCTTGTTTTGGGGGACTTGCTTAATATGGGGTTCGTTTGATGTAAAGTAGAGTTATGAATGATTTAGAAATGTCTTGCACCCGGCAAATATTTTGCTTTTCCGAATCAATTATGGTAGTTCCGCTAATAATGTGAATTCTGAATTTTTCCTAATTCATTGAATATGCAATCGATATTGCCTGGACTACATATATTTTCTTTTCCTTTTTTTTTTTACTGTTATTTTTAATTTATTGATTTTAGAGAGAGAGAGATAAAGGGGGAGAGAGAGAGATCGATGTGTTGTTCTACTTACTTATGCATTCATTGGTTGATTCTTGGACGTGCCCTGACTGGTGATGGAACCCGCACCCTTGGCTTATCAGGGCTTAGAGTACATATATTTTCATAAGTAGTTGTATTGTTCACGAGGCACCGTTTTCTGAAGCAGATTGATTATTGGAAGATTTTGGGGCTGTAGATAGTGTTTTCCTAAAAAAAAAAGTGGCTTTTTTAAGGCACTGAAATATTCTTTGTAAGATACTTTTTAAAAGAAACCACATGTCAGGGGCAGGGCAGAGTGATACTAAAGGTCACCTGAGGTGCCTCAGTTACCTGCGTTTGGCTTAGAGATATGCAGGGTGCTGCGGAGGTGTGGGAAGCAAGAGGTACCTACAGATCTGTTAGGTTGATAAGTCTCATGAAGGAAAGGCGACAAATGTTCCTGTAGTTTTTCTCCAGAAAAACTTTCCAAGGATGGTAAGCGCTTCATTCCCCCTTACATTGTTGCTAAGGGATGAAACCCCTATAATTTTAAAGTAGACACTACTTTAAAAACTGACCAAACTTGATTTTACAGCTTCAAAAGTCTCCCATTGTTGGTTAGTTGAATAGTTGTTGGACTACCTCATTGTAGACTCAGGTCTGAAATAGGAGGGCTGTTAAATACCAGCGTCAATTACAGATGGTACTATTGCAGCCTCTCAGTGGTCTTTCCACCGGAGCGAGATGTGATGTTAAACACTGAGCAAATGGTGCAGTGAGACTTTCATTGATTAATCAGAACTATTTTGATGGCTTAATCTGATTAAAGTAAAGTGTGTAGTGGAGACAACTTCAAGGAATAGTTGTCATTCATTCACAGTTTCTCTGAGGAGAGTACATGTTTTATAACTCATGTCTTATAAAGGTCTTAAAATTTTTAAAAACCTGGTTCTCTTTCTGTGTAGTAGCTACATACATTTTAAGTTTGAATGCTGACCATCAGCCATATAAATATAGACCATTTAGAATTCCTAAGGGAGAGAAGCATCCTGCTAATAATAATAAATACCTGTAATTCTAAGATAATAAGAATTAGCTTCTATTCAACACATCCTTTTAAAATCAATTATTTTTGCGGTGAAAAATAGAAAAGTGTTGTTTGCTTGTTTATTTTACTTACCTAGCTTCTTTTCCAGGTAATTTTGTGTCTGGACATTATCAAGAAGGCATGTTTTGTTCTTACTTCCTTTATTTGAGGATATCTTCGTTATATAATCTTCCTTGTGCACTAAGCTTCCTTATAGTCTTTGCTATTAAATTCTATTACACAAAGCGTACTTCAGTAGGTTTAGGACATAAAAGAAGAAAACCATACAGCATTAACTTAAGCCGACAAAGAGGAAAGGGAAAAGGGAAGGCAGACTGTCAACCTGAGTCTGACTGTACGTCCCTATGTATGGTTTCTTCGGTCCATGGTGCTGTGCCTTTCTTATTGCTCATCCTTATTTGTCCTCAGCCGGTGGCATTCTCTTCTAGTTCCTGTATTGAATTTCCAAAGTTCTATAATTTGAAAGTTGTAAGTTAACTGTAGATATCATGCAGAGTTTCTTAACCTCTTTTGTGCTGTTGATCCCCTCTCAGAGTAAGAGAAGTTTTAAAATTTAAATAAAGTGAGTAGGGTTACAAAGGGAAACAATTATATTGAAATATACTTCTGGTGATAGGCCAGGTTAAGAACAACTGAATCCTTCATTGTGTGGGTGAAGAAACTGAAGCCCAAAGAAGTTATAGTGTTCACGGTCTGAGCACTATATGACACTGTCTTCTCTCTCAACATGGACCATAATGGCATCTTTAACCTTTTTTTTAACCCTTGATCATGATAAAAAATAAAATATCTTCTAAGATTCAGAATATGATATGTTAATTATTCTTTGCTGCAGCTTTGCAAATTTCATTTAGATAAACATTAAACTGGGAAGCATTTTTTTTAAACCTTTGGCTCTACCTCCCCTCCCCCCGCCCCCATCTGTGTGTTAAATACAAAGTCTTACTAGAATTTTTACCTGTAAACCAATTTTTAAAAATTGATTTTAGAGAGAGGAAGAGAGACACCAGTCAGTTGCCTCCTGCATGAGCCCCTATCAGGGATCTAACCCACAATCTGGGCGTATGGCCTGATTGGAAACTGAACCCACCACCTCTTGGTGTTGGGGATGACACTCCAATCAACTGAGTCACACCGATCAGGGCTAGTTAGAATTTTTAGATCAAAAATAAAATCTTTAGCCTTCCGTCACTCCTCTCTGTGGTACTAAAGTGATTTTACTAAAATGTAAATTCATACAATCTACTTTGGGGTTAAATTCCTCACTATTTTCCTGAAGCTGGAGAAATAAAGACCTGACTCTAGAGTGGCTCTTCTTGTCTCTCATCTTATCCCTTCCATTGTATACGCTCTACTTCAGCCAAACTATCCTATTTATAGAACTCAAATCCACATTATTCTCGTTCACTTCTGTACCTTTGTGCATAGTATTGTATCCACTGCCTCTCTTCACCTGCTCGGTTTCCTCAGATCTGAATTAAAGCAATAGCTGTGCTTAGTGAAGCCTTCTTTCACCTTTCTCCCAAACTTATTTAATCAGCTCACTCTTCACACTCTAATCATGTTTAATACAGGTTGGGGAAGGTAAGTTGTTCATAGGGAAAATAATACAATAATTAATAAATAATAATACAAGAATAAACTCTTGTTTTGCATATTCACAACTGTAAACCTAATTTTGCCCCACCCCATATATACGACTGTTCTCATACTTACCATGCTGTGTTGCAATTATTGAAATGGCTCTCTCACTAGATTGAAGCTTGTTGAGAGTAGAGATGATATTTATTCATTTCTATCCCTAATGCCCAATACAGTGCCTCTGGGCATGGTAGATGCTCAATAAAGCCTGAATAAAGAAAAAGGTGGTGTTTCCTGTTCTAATAAATCAGCTAAGAGAATTTCCCCCCAAATCTTTACCTTCCGCCTTTATCTTCTGCAATGTCCGAGTGAAACACATTCTGATATTTTTAAGTGGTTTGTGTATCATCCACTTCCAGCCTGAGCCTCGTTCTCATAAAATACATGAATTGACATCTTCTGTGTTCTTTCCCATGTTAGCTTGACACATGGGTGTTAGAATTTATTTTAAAAAGTTTATTTTTAACCATTTGCATTTATATGGAGTGAAGGAATTCATCTTTTGATTGGACCATTGTATTATAAACTATATGTGTCATGTTTTTTCCCCAAACATTGCATTTTAATACTTATTTGTAGTCCAGACAACTATTAAGTTATTAACTGCCTTTATCTTGACTTTTAAAGTGTTTTATGGCTTTTCCAAAGAATAGCTGGGTTTTACACCTCCAGCCCAACTGCCTTTGGTTCCTCCTGGTTCCTGCTGCATTTCCAGTGTTCACTAGGAATCAATATTAGGATGAGGGGCTGAAGAAATATCCGATGTTGGGCTCTCTTAGCTTTCAGGAATTTCATATAATTCTAGAGATCTATCTCACTCCTCTTTTATGCCTCAGTTTTCATTTTGTATGATGGCTATCCCGTTTTATAGACCTTATAGTAGTTATAGTCACTGTAAGTCTGTGATTATATGAGATGGTTTAGAACAGTGGTTCTCAAAGTTTAGTTTATAGACCAGCAACCTGTGAACTTGTTAGAAATGCAAGCTCATGGACCCCATCCCAGCCTACTGAATCATGACCTTTGAAGATAGAGCCAAGAAACTGTATTTTAACAAGCTGTGCAGGTGTTTCTTATGGATGTTAAATTTTGAGATCTGGTTTGGAGCAGGAAATGCAAACTTTCCGTAAAGACCCAAATAATAAAACATATTTTGGCTCTGCAAGCCTTACAGTCTCTGTCACAGCTATTCAACTCTGCAACTGTAGTAGAAAGCAGCCATAGACAATATGTAAACAAATGAGTGTAGATGTATTTCAGTAAAATTTTATTTACAAAAACAGACAGGTTTTTTTGGTCCACAGTCTATGGTTTGCTGAACCCTGTTTTAAAGTACTTAAAAGTACTATAAAGTACCATAAGGATTAAAGTACTATAAGGATTATACATGTATAGCATGTATAAATAAACATTATTTTGCATTCTTGTTAATATGTTACCTGAGTTATGTGTTATTTACTTTACACATAAATTTTAAGTCAAGTTTATCAGAAATGAAAGGCTTTCACTGGGATATCCTGTTTTTTTAGTTTTATTTCAGAGATTGCTTGAAATCAAGGACTTTGTCCCCCCCCCCCCCTTGTTTTGTTTACTGAAGCTAAATTCATTTGTATTACAAAGAGTTAATTTATAATTCTGAATAGTAACTTGGCTTCTTAAAAAGGATGTTGTACAGTCTAATTCTCCCAGGTGGAAAAACAAATGGCTGCTGGTTTTCCATTGTGTTCCTCTTTGTTTCATATCTAGAGCATTGTTTCTGAACTTGTTAGGTTGATGTCCCTTGAGAGACTGATTTCATCCAAAGAGAGCTGAGGCTGAGCT